CCAGCAAGACCAATGATAAATCCCCCCTTCTTTCTCCACCTTCCTCCTCCTCCTTAACCTCTCCAATCTTATTCTTCTTCCCAATAATAATAATAACAATGAGTGGATGAACCAGAATCAATATCCGAAGTTCCCTCTTACTGCTGACTCAACAACAACAACAACAACAACAACAACAACAACAACAACAACAACAACAACAACAACAACAACAACAACAACAAGTCCACCATAGTTATGGCTTCCCTCCTTCTTCCATCTCTCACATGCCTAGGCTATGGCGGTCTACTGAGGGCCCTGCCCTCCTGTCCAAAGGACAACCCAAAGCAGCTATGCCGCTGCTGGCTAAGCCGCCATGCCTGTCTCTGCCTCGAGCTTCCTTGGTGCGGCACTACCCCAACTGGGGCCTTCCAGATGCAGCGCCCAACAAGGTGATGAAGATGGTGTCCACCATAGCCAGGTAGGTGCCTCGCCACTCTCCTCCTTCGCCCCCTTCTTCCTCCCTCAGGCTGGGCTGCTCGCCATAGCCAGACTGAGCGCCCAGCTGCCCTTCACCTCCAGGCAGCGCTGTACCAGTCCAGTGCTTCGCTCAGCAGCATGTCACCAATCCTTGCATACCGCAAATGAGGACGAGCTACTTGCTCCTCCCAAAGATATAGCGGCCTACTGGCCTCTTGGGCGGTGACTTCCTAGGCCGAGCGGCCTCCCAGCAACCGGTACCTCCTCCCTTTCGGAGGGAAACATCATTGCAGGCTCTGCTATCGTCCGGACAGGCCCTAGACCCGGGCTACTTGGACTGGTACCGGCCTACCTCTAACCTACCGCTACTGGGCCTCTAAAAATGCCAGCTTTTGTTTTCTTCTGCTCGGCCTCCAGTACCCGACACTTCTACCACTACCTGAGTGGTACCGGCCTTTTTTTTTTTTTTTGTTTTGTTTTTTTTTTTGTTTTGAAACACCCGTCGGTGCTAGCAGTGCTGATAAGAGCAGACACTGGTAGCACGCGGGGGGCTCCATCTATTGGTGGGGAGCAGCACCTGCTGGAAACCGGGTCCAGCGTCCCTTACATAAATCAAGTTCGGCTCACATGATTGACAAGTATGGTCCTGCCAGCATTGATTGCCCTGAAGATTCAGGGGATTGACTGAGCAGGAGATCGGGGAGGGGGCCTCTTCGCCCTATAATTTGCGCCAGATGTCTGCAATTGCGTCCTGGGCCCCCACACCCATTTCTGAAGGAAGTTTCCTGGGGTTGAGCATCTTGATCCTCCTGAGGTTCCCCGTCCCATGGGACTGCCCGTGTTCCCCCCGCCCTTGTCGGAGATCCCCCTTATCCCTATGCCCAACTCTATTGCGGCAGTCCCCCTGTCTTAAGGCTCAGCCACTATGCTGTGCTGTGCTGTATGCAGTCCCTTCCTACCCCGTATGCCCTCCCTTATGTGCACTCACTCGATCCCGTACCATTGCATGTCTACCATGGCTAGCGGGTGCGGGGGAAAAGGGTCGGGGAAGTCGGAGGCCGGCCGCAGCGAGATCCTTGGGTCCACCGTTGTCCAATCCTTGAAGCAGATGCTGTAATCCCTGCTGAATGACTCTCGATTGCCTTCCTTGCTGTGCCTGTTGGCCTCCGGCCCGTCTCTGCCGTCCCACTTGATGAAGGCTATCTTGCCCCCACTGTCGCCACCCAGCCAGTCCTCTGAAATTTTGCATTTTATGTCCTTTTGTGTCTGAAGCATGTCGAGTTTATCTTTAACCTTCTGCCATTGTGCCCTGAGCTCCTGATGAACAAATTCTTTCAATATTTCTGTCATTTCCTCCCCAGCTATACGGACCCCCTCCATGGTGTGTATGCAACGTCTCCTCCAGATTGCCCAAACGACCGCCCTCCTACCTGTTTTGAACATATTGTTTTCAAAAGTGCTACCTAAGGGGGAGGACCAAGTTTCACATAAGATCGCCCTCCAGTCCCACGACCACCCGGAGTCGGTGCCCAGACTACTCCAAATTCGATCCCACCATCGCCATGTGAGAACAGCCCCCGGGCATTGCATAAAAATATGTTCAATCGGCTCAGGGACCTTTCTGGAGGGAAACACTGAGACGCAGGACTTACACCACGGAAGAGCCCGTCCTGTTTGTTCTAAGCGTGTGCGGTCGATCAGCCAGTCATTAGTAGGGAGGCAACAGTGTTCTATCTGCCATTGCAGCGAGGCCAGTTTTGCTGGCTTCGACCGCGTGAGGGCAAACCACCGTATGGGGCGGATGAGGTCCTCCCCCAGATTCAGATGAGATTTCCAGCGGTCCTTCACAATATCTTTCAGATTTACTTTGGGCCGCAGTAGTCGGTGCGTGGATTTCACCGAGAGACTCAGTAGCTGCACCTTCTTAGCTGAGTGGATCCCACRCGCAGGCGGCCATTGCCACTCCTCCGGGTCTAGGGGGAGGTCGGCTAACCGAGTCTCCGACCGGTATGCTACCCAGCCCTCCTTCGTATGTAGCACCCTAATCCGATGCAGGTCGGTGTTTAGGTGCCATCTCGTCACCTCTGGGGTATAGCTGGTTAGTAGATTGTCAATTTTTTATGGAAGAGGTTTATCAACGATTCGTTCCCGCGTTCCTCCACAACACTCCCTACACTCTCTGGATCTCCCGGGACCGCGACCCAATCCCCCTCCTTTAATCCTGGGCCCTTGCGCAAAATGCGGACCTAGTCCAGTGGAATCAAAAAGATCAGCTGTTCCAGGTTTATTTCCAGGTTGTGGCAATGTTTCAGTGCCGTCCTCATCTGAGGGGCTGTTTTCCAGTCCCTGCTCCCTACATCCCAGATGTCTTTGACTCTGATTATACCTTTTCTCACCCAACTGTTCCACGGGGGGGCCGAGCTGCAGTAAACCCTTCCATTTCGGTCCGTGATCTTTCTGTTGCCAAACAAGGGCTGTCTGGCTACCTCCTCCCATCTGGAGGGTYMGGGTTTCTMYGGGAGAGGGAGCTGGCGCCAAGCCTTCAGGSAGCGGACCCAAAAGTCGTSTTTTGCCAGGTCGCCTCGAGCTGCCCCCCTGCCTGGCGTCTGATCTGAACGGGGGCGTCTTGGGATGGACCAGAAAAGATCSTCCAGCCAAGTCAAAGGATCTACCGTTTGTGGTGYTTGTGGGGCCAGGCGGGCGAYCTGTTCCAGCRCGAGAGCATGCCATGGGAGCTCCTTTGTGAAAATCATCCTTTTAATCCATTGGACCATGAGAGCGGCAGTTTGAGTAGCGGGGTCGAGAATTCCCAGCCCCCCTTTATCCTTAGGCTGTACAACCGACYGCCAGGCCACTCTATTAATCACGTTCGGCAGGTCGCCGTTCCCTCTCCATAATAGTGCAGTTATTTGTCGCTTCAATGACCGCACCGCTTCTCTACTCAGTGCCCAAATTGTCGTTCTGTACCATAAGGCGGCCAGGACAACGTTGTTTATCACCAAAGCCCTTCCAACCAGGGACGTGTGTTGATCCTTCCAGTGCGCCAGTTTCTCGAGCGCTGGTTTGAGAGTCG